AAGACCCCAGTCGGTTTCTGGACTTTGAAGGATGTCAGAGTTGTTCCAGGCTTGAAGAAAAGTTTGATTTCTGTCAGGCAGTTGGACGAACAGGGACACGAGGTGAAGTTCAGGGATGGGCAGTGGAAGGTCGTGAAGGGAAATCTTGTCATGGCCCGTGGAAAGAAGAGAGGTTCGCTGTACAGGGTCGAGTTACCATCTGAGGGAGTGACCGTCCCAGTTCAGAAAAGAAACAAAGTCCGGTTCACAGAGTCTCGTGGGCAGAATAAGGTTGTCTGTGCAAGAGAGAAACCTAGAGCCACTAGTCAGACTCAGGATGAACGAGCGAGGAAAGGTTCAAGGGGGCTAGTCAGAGGTATTTGTGGCAGTGGGAGCTCAAGAGGCGCTTCAGCCAAGTTGCCTAGAAGACAGTGGGTCAGGAGAACCAGTATTCCAGCTGTTCGAACATCTCCAGAAAATTTCTTGCTGAGTACGGAGATTGTTTGTTCTCAAGATGTTCCAGGATTCGGCATTGTGCGTCTGCAGTGGGAGCCGGTAGGGACCGAGGACGAGTCAGGGGCTGATTTAGCCGTGACTGATGTGTTGGAGCTTGGGAGAGCTTCAACGAGCCTTTCAGTTGTCTGATGAGAGGGCCGCTGCAACAGAAGAACTGAGGAAGATTACTCGACGTACAGGCGATCGTGGCGGATGGCAGTTGATGATTATCAAGCCTCCAAGTGGGAGAATGTTGGGTTTGTGGAGGCTTGGGCTTGTCTTGTTGGCCCGGCCCATGTGATGTAACCCTAGGTTGTTTTCCTCCTATATATTGAGCCTTGTACTTGTAATTCCGGTAGACACCACAAGTGAAATAAGAAAATCCTCCTGTTGTAGCCGTGGATTAGGGAAACCGAACCACGTTAAATTCTTGTGTGTCGTCCGTGTTCCGTTTCTCTCGTTTCTCGCAGATATTTGTGTGTGTTATGTGTTTTATTCCCAACAGTAACTGCCATGTCGAGGAAGCTTCTCACCTCGCGTGCATTCCTAGGAGTCTCCCACCCTGTGATGGCTGAAATTTTACTGGGGTCCACCTTGATACCCTCTTGTGATACCACATGACCCAAGAATGTGACCTTGTTAAGCCAAAATTCACACTTCGATACTTTGCCATACAGTGAGTTATAAAATTTATAAGTTCCGTTTTAGAGAATAAATAAAATACTGTGTCATTTTCACAACTTTTGAATTACTATTTAGGGGAAAAATTTGTAGTGAATTATAAAAAAATCACAAATTAGGTAGTTCCATTTTAGAAAAAAAAATATATGAAATAGAAGATTATCAATAAATATTTCTAAGTGTTGTTCATTAAAAACTTGTAATACAACAAAAAAATGTAGTGAGTTATAAAAATAAAAGTTTCATTTTAGAGAAAAAAATGTTGAGTTATTTTCACAATTATTGTAATGTTGTTTCGCAAAAAAAATATTTATATAGAATAATCAAAAAATATTCACAAGCTTTGTAGAGATATTTTAAGAAATAATAATAACATAATTTCAAAAAACAATTTGAAGTGCCGCTCAAGAAAAATAATCACAACTTACAAAACAAAAGTAGTGAGTTATGAAATAAATAAATTAGGTCCATTGTGTAGAATAATTTATTTTTTAATTATTACCAAATTATGATTATTGAAAAAAAGAATTAGTTTCACCCTAAATAACAGTTAAATTTGGTATTATTTTTCCAAAATTTTATTTAAAAAAAACATTTAAATTTAAAATTAGAAATTTAAAAAATGAAAAAATAGAATATACCTTAAATAATCTCAAAAAATTGCTGCTGGGTACCCTTATTTTTGTACTAAGAACTCGCAGGTTCCATTGTTTTTCAAAATATACTCCGAGGTACCTTAAGATATTCGAAAACTGACTCCGGGGTGACAATCCGTCATTCTCTCCGTTAATATTCCTTCTCCATTATCCATTTATCCTCTTCAATTCTTCTTCTTCTTCTTCTCTTCATTTCTTCTTCTTTTTCTTCTTCTCTTCTTCTTCTTCTTCTTCTTCTTCTTCTTCT